TTCAACGAGGTAATAAATGGTTCTTCCCTATCCCTCCTCATCACGTCCTAATTTTCAGAAAATAACAAATTAAAAAAAAAAGAAAGAATCAGACCTACAGAAGACCAAAATGAAATGTTTAAATGAAAGCTGTGGTTAGCCTGAATGATAAATCTGCAAGAAGTCTTGCGTCCCACTCCATCTAACTCACCATTACAAAAGGCTTCAAAAGAGAATACAAAAAACTTATAATCTCATCCATTCACCTGGACAGCTGGAAAATAACTGATATTTCAGGGCAGTTGGTTTTGTTTATTTTTTTAAAAAAACAGTAACACTCTAAAGTTTCAATTTTTTTGGAGAATATACTTAAGTTGAAAACCTAATATGAAGTTAGAGTAGAAAATAACACATATTAATTGAACATTATTTACTAGTTAGATAATTAGCCAAATATATTGATTGATTCAGTCAGTGTACTTAAAAAACCAAAAGTAACTACAGGTAAGTATATACAACATATGAATCAAGATCTACGGTAACTGATGAAGATCAGTAAATAATTTAAAAGCATCTTATTACTGGTCAAACTACCTGCTATTCTTGGATTTTATCCACGTGAATTGTACAGCTATGACAAAGAAAAACACAATGTTACTCTGTCCCAAGAGTTTGAGGTTGGTGCAGGGAGAAGGGAGCTGCTTCTCCTCATTCTTAAAGGATGAATTTCAGAAAATCCAGCAGGAAAAAAACCCTCACAACACAAATGGGTTTTTTTAAGCTGAATGACACCCCTTCCGCACCACCCCCCGCAACAGACAAGTGGAAGAAAGGCATATTCAGTGAATCAGTACTTCTGGATGAGGTACAAGCAGCAAACAGTACTTGCTCGAGACTACAAGGGTCACCTGTGAAGCCCAGCATTTCAAAGGAGACTTACTTTTCCTTCTCAAATAATGTCCCTCTCTTCCCATCAATAAGACAAAACTGTTTAAGAATGTTTCTGCTTACTTTCTTATCTGAAAATACACCTCTACTGAGAAAGTGATTAAACCACGACAGCTATCAGTCTTCTTGCACCTGTGTGGATCAACAGGCTTTGGTGATGTTGTGCCACCCCCCCCCCCAGTGCTCTTAGAACAAATTTTAGCTTCACCCACAAGTGAATTTCTTCTGCTATGCCCTCACTTACAACAAAACTTCATTTTAAAAACTGACAGACAGTGTTTTAAGATACTTTTTTTCTTTTTAGCTGAAACTTCTCAAAACATTTTCTTGTAATACTATTAAAGACCTGACAACATGAATATGCTACTGAACCGGGGGCAGAGGGATGGAAACAGCTGAGCTGTCTAGAACAGGTATTTTTCTATTTATTTCTTCTCAAAGCATGGGAAATGTATCTTACCGTAGTTAAACTGACTGTTTGACTTTTCACAGTTGATGATGTTAAACCGGTAACCAATGCCAGTTTTCATTCCACTGACTTCAAAGTAAAACCATTGATGATAATGATTGCTATTTATATCCGAGTTCAGAATTAGATCATACTCGTTTCTAAACAAAAACAAATCAATCTTTTTTTAAGAAGCAGAAATAAAAGGCCTTATGTGTGAAAAGAAGAGCTGAAACATCTTACTTTCTGATCTGAATAACTTTGCGGAGATTTCCAGATTCAAATTTGGAATTAAACTTCAAAACATCTGCTTCCTCTGGTACTGAAGAACTATGAGTAGAAAAAGAAAAGGGACCAAAATGAATTAAAAAAACTTAACTAAACCAAACTCATTAAGTTTATTTTAGCCTTCATGTGGCAATTCAGAAATTATTTTGTGCCTTCCTCTAAATACAGCCTATTATAAATATATTATTATATTATAAATAAATAGCAGAAACAGTGTTATATTAGATGAAACTTTCCCTGAAGTCTGCTGTAATAATACTGCTTTAAGTATTACAAATCATATCACAGAGAATGTAGAACAGGTTTAGAGTATTCACCGAATACTGTTTTCAGAAGGGTAAAAACTTACCTCAAATTATCAAGGTCATACACAACTCTGTCTATAATGTCATTTTGATGAATCAGTCTTTCAATATCTTGAGATATTTTTGTCCTAAAATAAAAAGCAGAGTTCTCATTTAAATTGTTGCATACTGTTTCCAATTGCAACAGAGAAATTCCCTCATACAACAATGAAAACTAACAAAGTTGACATGAAGACAGTGGGACAGATTATCACAGAGACCTCAGCCTCATCCCCACTTAAGTGCACAAACTGTAAGTGTACTTAAGTTTAAACACCTGCATTCACTGCTGACTGAGTCCACTACTTGTATGTGAGGGATCTGAGTTTTCATGCACACAACCCACTGGGTTTCATCTTATGGAAAAAAATGCACCATTTCATACTTTATAGTAGAAGCAGAAATTACTCAAACATTACTTATGTTAATGCTTTAATCCAGGAGAGCACTTGATAACATTAGTAATTTACATGAGTCCTACCATAACTAAAATTAAAGAGTTTTAGAGAGTAGGTCGTGCAGTGAGTGTATTAGTGCACTAGCTTTTCACCTCTGGAGATCTAGGTTCATTTATCGACTAGGTAACAAATAAGAATGAATTTGGTGATGTCAGCCAAATGTCAGGTGTATGTTTATCCAGATCATAAAACCATTGCACAACTGGCAGTGTCTAGGTCCTGGTGTGGAAAAGTAAGAATGTGTTGCAGTTCAAGAATGAAATATAGTGGCAGAGCTGTGTGGAAAAGCTTTCACAGCACCTGCAATAAGAAGAAAAGGAGGCAGATTAACAATGAAGAATATAGGAACAGAGCAGTAAAGTATGTTCAGGCTGGAAATTCTCCATTTAATTAAAATAAATATTGCTAACAAATGAGAAAAAGAAGGTAAGTGCATGACTCTAGCACCTCTTATTAAATTAAAACTAACTGGAGAAGAAAACAAGTCACAAGTCCAATATAGTGACAAAATTGTAAAAAGGCTGACTTGCCACAATCTATCTGATCAGGGTTAGCTCAGGGCAGAACCACAGATCTTTGATGTTGCACTTGATCCCACACAACTCATTAGATCATAGTATGCCTCAGCTCTAAAGGGTCATAATACTTCTTATCATCGCAGGAGTTTTGCCAAGACAAAATCCATAAATGAATATGAGGCATTCAAATACCACAGTAATAAACATTGTAGACAAAAGGAAAAAAGAAATGGTATTCAAGATGTACATGAAAAGGAAAAGTAGTAGGGGACATTTTCAGGTTCCGAAAAACCAAGAGAAAGAGAGACACTATTTTAAGATAATTAAAGGAAAAAAATATAAAAACAACACTGTTGGTGTGGAGCTCTTTGTTTACAGGTCAGTCCTTTGTGGATCCTGATTTACCTGACGATCACTTCTAAGTGTCAGATGACTAGAAAATACTTAAAGTGATTACAAAATACTAAAGCATACAGCAAAAAAACAACCTAAAATTTTAAGGAATGGAAAAAAGTAGGAAATTAATCCAAATTTATAGGTTACTGAATTATGTAATAATTTTCTTCCATAAAAGATAGAATAATATAAAACAACTCAGTTATTCTCAGTAACATTTCTCTTAATAAAAACTTTGCGAGACATTTGGTGAAAATTACATTACTAAAAGTAAATGAAAAAGCAAAAGCACTCCAAAGCACAAATTCAAAACCACTGTCTCTCCTAGTATACCCACAAGACTAAACCCCTCCCCACATTTGTCTAATATAAGTAAACCGAAAACCCACTAACTCCCCACCTCAGCTCCCCACAATGGTTTCTTAAATTACAAGGGTGGATTAAGGCAACCATTTGTTTCCTAAAGAAGACTTAGCAGACAAGCAGTAACTAACTGCTTACTTTAAGGAGAACATAAATCCCACTGAATGCCAAAATAGTTTGGACACAGCTTTGTAGAAGACTTAAAAGCTTCTCCATGTCCCCTACCAAACTAATTTTCACCACCTTCCTATAAACTATGAATTCCTAAAATAATTAAGCACTTTTTAAACAGGTTCTCAGAAATTTGTTACACTGCAGTAACAAGACAAGAGTCATTTGTAGAAAACTGAATTCTTACAACAGTGTACCTTAAAAAGGTGATGCAGAATTTTTGATTCAAGTTTAGCAACATTGTATGGTATTTCATTCTTGTTTCACACAAGACCTAAAAAAGTTACTTTCAACATAGAAAATACAACACAAATAAAGCATCTTAAAGTTAAATAAAATATATTCTAGAACTACCTTCACAGTTTAGAAATCAGATTTATGTATAACCACACGGGTAGGTTTGTTAAAAGGCAGAGTTAATACAGTATCTAAGAACAAGCACTGGAATGACAAATTTTACCTGACTTCACTCAATAATTCTGACTTTTCCTAAGTAAAATTAAGTACTACCAAAACATACATGAAGATTTGCAAGATTTTCTTAAAATGCAGTTCTTAGGTGATTTCTGACTCAAGACGATCTCCTATCTAAAAAAAAAGCTTATAGGGAAGGTTCTTCTCCTTCAACACTGAACGGTGTTTTCTAGTAATAATATATTCATTACATCATTAGTGTTTCAACACATGGTCATTTCACTAGGAAGATCACTTTGTTACAACACGCGTGAAACAGCTAAAGGATTTCATTTCTACAACCTAAAGACAATTAATCTCTTAATCATCTTATTAACTAAACGTAAATATGATGAATCTCATGAAACTGGTTAAAGTTGTAAGTATAAAGCTAAAAGCATTCGATCTAATAATAAAGCAAGTGGCAAGGTCTCATATCTACTATTAATATGTTCTGCTAACATGCTCATTTGTCTTTACAGTAACCTACTATGCATATGAGCCAGCTCTTCATACCACCTCTGCAAATAATTCTTAAGAGTCACATCACCCTTCATCTTCTAACATCATTCAGTGAAGAAATAAATGGGTGTGTTGATGAGGTGGGTTTTGCTGGGTTTTTTTTATTATTTTTCATCCTGTGTTTATTGTGTGTCATTCTGCAGGACCTAACACAAACTGCATCTTCAGCATTTGTTAACTCTAAATTCTGTTATAGTGCAAACGCTAAAAACAAGCACTTAAGTGTATTAGGTTTTTAATTTTTTCCACTACAGTCTCCTGAAAGGTAGCTTTGTTAGCACACCAAAGAGAAGAGTTGAAGTATCTTTAAACTATTAACTGTCCTATCTTTGCTAAGACCTGAAGGGAGCATTCAGGTGGGTTTTTACATTTCTTTGTTGGGATTTTTTTGTGGGTTGTTTTTTCTCTACAAAACGTAGATGGCGGATGGTGGGAACACAGAAAGGGAAACTATAAATGAATTTAGTATTTACAAACTGAATTACAAAATTAGAATTAGCAATTACAGAATCAGATTGTGTCCTTGTTTATGTCTCTGCATTGATCAATGCCTACTCACCTACCTTCAAACTACTTCTCACTGAAAATAGTTTTAGATGCCAAAGTAAACACTGTATATGTGCCCGTTTATCTCATACTAAAGATTTTTCCTCCAGAGAACGAAAACAACATCAAAAAAAAGAGTATGTTAACTCACCTCTGCACCCCATATGGCCTTTCCAGAATGGGCTCCTTAAATGGGGGTGGAATATGTCCAAAATAATCTGGATAGGCTACTTCTGAATATTCAGGGATAGATTTTGTGGTTTTTACCATTTCAATATAAAGATCACAGTCATGAACTGGTGATACATCAGAAACCTCAAGCATGACTTGTTCCCCTGATGAACTAGACCTGGAATCCTCTTCCTCTGAATCCACTCCAGTGCAGCAGAGTTTTCCCAGCTGGACAGATGATCCTTCAAAGAGGCTACTTCCACAGGGTGAAACGTGTTCACAAGGTTTGCTACAAGCAAGTGTGGTAAGGCTAGTTTTGCTTTCCTTCTTTATTACACACCCTATACCATAATGCTGATCATTTTTTGCACTGTTCTGAAGACTGATTCTGTCCAAGCCTTTCACAATTTCTTGGCTTAGACACTGGCATGATGGAAGCAAGTTTCTTTGATCATTTTGCTGATGTAAACTACTGTCTTTGATACTATCTTTCTTTGGTAGTTCCAGAAAGGCTGGCCTTCTATTGTATTCCTCTGTCAATAAAGGATTGCTCTCCTTCAAAGCAACTCCTTTCATTGACTGGTTTGCTTCAGCAGAGTGCTCCTCTCCTGCTGTAGGAACAACAATAGGTCCACCCAGATTTGCATCAGGTACAAAAGGCTTTGGTTCCTTGGAAACTAAGTCACACTCCTTAAAAAAAATAAGAAAAAAAATTTAAATATTTATTAAAAAAAAGTAAACAGTTCCTAAGTTTTCATTTATATTAGAAACCTTTCTCTCTCATTGTTCCTAAGGTATGTTTTGCAATAATCCAAAATAAGTGTAATTTAAAAGACAACAGCTATTAGGTTTTAAACTTACAAACGTAGCAATGAAGTTTCAGCTTTTAAAAGAGATAGTGTCAAAGCAATAAACAAGTAGTTCTTCAATTGAACAAATTATCAAGTCAATGCAATTCCCCAAATATTTTAACCAACTACATTAAAGAGGTGCATAGCATTTAAGGAAATACCTATGAATCTTTGTCTGAAAGCTCGTGTCCTTTCTTACTATTTTACTTTCTGCTGTATGCAATAATCAGACATTAGAAAACAGTTTTCCTTTATATTGTCTTGGTTTCAGCTGGGATAGGGTTAATTTTTTTCCTAGTAGCTGGCATAGTGCTGTGTTTTGGATTTAGAATGAGAATAATGTTGATAACACCATGATGTTTTAGTTGTTGACAAGTGGTGCTTACACCAATCAAGGCCTTTTCAGCTTCCCATGCCCTGCCAGGTGCACAGGAGCTGGAGGGGTCAGCCAGGACAGCTGGGTCAAAGTGGCCAAGGGGGTATTCCAGACCATAAGATGTCATAATCAGTATATAAACTGAAGGAGTTCGCTGGGGGGCAGCAATCGCTGCTCGGGGACTGTCAGGGCATCAGTTGGTGGGTGGTGAGCAGTTGCATCAGTTGTTTTTTCCTGCTTCTCCCCTCCTCCCCGCCCCGCGGTTTTCCTTTCTATTACGTCTTAAAAAATATTATTTCAATTATTAAACTCTTCTTATCTCAACCCATGAGTTTTCTCACTTTTGCTCTTCTGATTCTCTCCATCTCAATTCTTTCTGCCATCCCACCGCGTGGGGGGAGAGTGAGCAAGTGGCTGTGTGGTGCTCAGTTGCCAGCCGGGGCTAAACCACGACAGTATCTGCCCACAGTCCCCGTCTCAGTCAAGGTTAAAGTAACCCACAACATTTAACTAAATAACTCACTGTATAGCACTCTCATATGTAGCTCTAGAACTGCAGACTCTCATTGTTTGGCTAGAGGAACTATTCACCCAAAGAGGAACGTCAAAGCGTATTCCAGAGTCAACCCATCATGACAAAGAATGCACTAGAAATCATATACTTTACCTGAAAGTTTTCTGAAAGTTCAGGGAAAAATTGCTCATACATTTTCAGTTCTTCTATGGGTCTTCCCAATTCCTGTCTAGGTTTCAGCTTATTAATATCAGTCTCAATATCATCATTCTGAAAGAGCACCAGCACAAATTAACCTTGCATCCAAAGTTATAAAACTTCTAAAATAATTACATTCACCTTTTACTTCTGACACAGCCATGCTTTAAAAGCTCAATATCATTATTTTAAAATTAGCTGAACTGCACCACCATGAAGTTTAGGCCGCTCAGTTTTATCAGTATGCTAAAGCCTTCATTTCAACAGAAATATTAAACACATCTCAATTTTCTTGCTTTCATACAAATGTATTACGCACAGACATCAGACTACTTTAAATGAGATTTGTACATAATCCAACTATTGCAACCTGGAACATGGAGATTTCATCGGGCTGCAGTGACAAAGGAATAACTGCTTCTATAGAAGATAATCTTTTCATCAGGGCTCATGAAAGCCTTAAATAAAATTTGTCATTCCAATTCAGTTAACTCCTGAATACATGTAACAAAAATATAGAATAAGGCAGTTCTGACAAAATGTCCTCTCATGTCCTTACTGGTAGCTGGAGAGCAGAACAAGACCTTCCCAAAGTGATACAACAGTAAGAGGTTTGATCTCTACCTCTACAGCTGGCAGAACTTCAAAGTTGCCTTGCTGAAACACTGACCTAGTCAATCCCAGTCCAGAATGATGGAAAAAGTTAGAGCAGCTCCTACATACTAAGCAGAGGTGGGAAAAGAGGGCTGAGAGAAATACAAGTTGGGAACAGAACACTGCTAAAAGAGTTTGCAGTTCTGTTCCACCGTATTCCACACACATGAAGCGTGAAACAAACAGGTTTTGATAAAAATCTTGAAGAAATCTGAACAACAAAGGTTGGTATTTTCAAGCAGCACCTGAAGTTTCAGCTTTTTTAATTTTAGAAATTGCCCTGAAAACCTCCTTAAAGTCTTTTAAACACTCAAAATATATAGCTATATACATGTCTCAAGCAACTTAAAAAAATAGAAACTGTTGTGCCTGATTTTTGCATTAGCTTTGTCTCATACCAACCTTAAAATGTTGGTCCTTATCATCATCATTTTCAGTTTCAACTTCTGATTCTATTTCAGCATCATCATTATCATCACTTTCATCTACTACATCATCCACTATGATACAAGAAAGTTTTGTAAGGCAAATTATACATTTAATCCAATACATATGCTCAAAAGAATTTCTGTGTTCTGGGTTTATTTTCTTTTTTACTTACCACTTGAAAAAATTGTGAAAAACAACTAGCAAACATTAATTACTATTACCAGATTTACAAACCAAAATGCTTGTTTGACAATACTGCAGACTCAATTCGTTACACTTCCCTCCAGTTTTAAGTCAAAACAAAGATTTCTGGTTTAAGAAAAGCAAAACAACCCCCCCAAAACACCCAACACCTCCCCACCCCAAAAAAACCAGCAAGACAGCAGATGGCCATTAGAAATACTTTACAATGCGTATGTGCCAAGAACATCTCAGCACGTCTTGAGGTCATCAAAAAATGAGATGGCTCTGACACCTTTTCCCAAAGTAAGTAACAATGACCATGTCCGAAAAAAAAATTGAGGTCTCAGAAGCTTTTAATTGTGTCAACTAGTATTGACCCATTATCAGGGAACAGCAGTCTACTTCAACAGAATAGGAAGTTTCCAAACAGGTATTATGGAGCACCAAAAATACTGCATTAATTCTGTGGATTTTGGAACACACTTCTAAATCTACTTGCTACTTTGAAGACAAAACATAAACAAACTCTATAAAACCCTGCAGTTTGAGTCTGACTTATATGAACCCCAGTAGGACAGCTGTCTTCTTTCAGACTGTGATCACATTTTGCTTTCGGAGATACTGTGAATAAGAAGATATTAAACAGCCTGACTGCCTTTTCTTTTTGAAGTAACTTTCTGACAGCAAACTTCATCAGTTGCTTACCCAGGTACCAAACTATTTCACCACATCTGAAAATGCATTAAACATTAATTATCCAAAAATAATGAAAGGTGTTCACAATGGGATTAATCCATTTCCTACAAAGCATCATACAACTGCTTTGCAGACTAGTGTTGGCTAAGAGACTGCAACAGTCCAAGAAAGCAGCTCTGCTTTTCTCATCATGCAAATGAAGGAGCAACCACAACAATTTAAAAAAATCAATGCTTCAAATGGCACACATTAATCTAAATTCACTATATCCAGTTTATCAGAGTAACAGAAGGAAATCAAAAGAATACACACTCCCATAGAACAGGATGTACACTACATTTCACATAGGATAATGTGTACGATCAAGAGGCCCTCTTTTTAACTCACTTAAGTTTGCAAACTAATGTGTACAGCCAATGCTTTAAACTTCAGAGACTAATGAATAACATATCTTAGTTTCTGTTTTATTTTTTCTTTTGTATCACAGAAACATAGCCACATACGTGTAGACAAAACTTTCATCAGTTAAAACTTAACATTAGAAATTGGTGCTCCACAGCAACAGCCACAGACCCTTTGCCAGCTGACAAGAGTCTCAGAGTCCAGATTTCAGTGGAGAACACAAATAATTGCAATTGATTCCACCCTACATAAAGCAATGTTAAGCATACTCAAAGACAAAATATTATAAAATAACCATACCATCAGGAGGCAAATTGTATAGCTGAGCCACAGGACCACTGGCAGGAATAACTGGGAGTTGGAAATGGAAAGCACTTTTAATAGTTGGTAAAGGGAGACGATTTTTAGGAAAACATTTCCTCATTATTAGGCTGGATGTGTTGACAAGGGCATCAAGAGTTCTTACTGCAAGGCACTCCTATTAACAGGAAAATAAGGAAGACAAGAGAAAAGTATCTCTCAAACTAATACTCAAACTGCATTTGTTTTCCAGATTTCTAGAATTCACTAATAGCAAAGTATTTTCTTTACAATAAATTTTGCTAATGCTTCCTTTGAAGGTCAGAAGAATGACTACTAACTCAAATTCACCTTTTTCAAGAACCTAAACTTCAAAATAAGAAGACTTTTCCCCCCCTCCTTTTTTAAATTAAGTTCAACAGCCCGCCCAGAGATAGTCACAGCCAAATTATCCCAAATATTAATTTAATTCTGTATTCTTTCATTCCACCTTAGTCAAATACAGAAAATAATCCTTAGCCCCATATCAGGAATGACCATGAATATCATAAAAGAACTGTGACAAATTTGACGTCAGGATGTGTTTTCAAGGCCTAAAAGACAAAACCACCACCACCAAGAAAAAAAATGAGATAAACTTACTTGTGAAGTGTTGTAAAGAATTTTCATCCCATTGGCATCAATGAATGCTTTTCTTCCCAATTTGATGTTTGTAACACTTTTAATGCACTGTAAAACTCCTTTACGTATGAGCATGTATCTGTGTCGACTGTCATGACGGTGCCAATCAACATAAATTGTTAAAAGCACCTGCACATATCCTCTGTCTACTGCTCTCCTGGCATTTGTTTCTTTACAAAAAAAGTTAGGTAAGACAATTAAAAAATGCCCAATGACTTCAGTATTTTCAAATCAATGTAAAAATTACTCTTTTTATCCAAGCAACTGAATTGTTTCATTTAAAGTAGTATTTTAGTCATGCTTAGCAGGGTTTTACATCAACCTAAACAGAAATGACTGAATAATTTCTTCAGAATAACATTGTATGTTATTATCATGGTTTATCAGAAGAACAGTGTGCACTACATTTAAAGGTAATTGTAAGATACTGTCAACTAGGAAATTTAAAAAAAAAAAAAAAACCACAAAGTGTTTATATAAAGCATATTTATCTCCATCCACACACATTGTGTAGATACAAGATTTGAAACAGACTTCTTACCGCTTGTAATCCAAACAATTTTGCAGCAACTATCACTCAAATTCCATAAATCCAAAATACTCCTGCCCCAAATACTGTGTAATCAGTATGATAACTGGACTCTACACACCAGAGATTACTGTCTTTATGAAAAGACTTACTTATATGAAGTATAGGAAGTTACAATGTCAAAACCCTTCAGGACTGAGTAAGACCACAAAATAAATGCACAAGACCTCCTGTTTTAAAGACACACCTTTTAGAATTTTAATTTCTTTCCCCAACATTAAACTTTAACTGCCAATTTGCAGAACAGAATACTGGCAATAACTCAGAAGTATTTCCTTCCCTAAATTTCCCAAGGAGAAACTCCAAAATTAGTAAATACACAAATCTTTAAGACCAAGGTATCACACTGATCAAACATGAGAAAACTCAGCACCCTGTAATAATCAGTACAGAAGTTCCCTATCATTTATCTGAAATGGTTTTCTGCAAAACTAATCATGCTTCAGTTCTTGCCCAACTACTGGGACTACTACATTTTTTATGCAACTCTTTGGAGAGCATGAGTTTTTAATTCCTCATCAGTTACAATCCTGGTGCAAAATCTGCAGAGATTACATTTGTCAGGATCCACTGCTGCTGGCCAAGATAGCCAATGTCTGGGAACAGACCACTGTTTCATTACCCTTGGTTCCACCTTCATACACGTCACTGACAAGACTTGTCATTAGGACCCAAGCCCAAATTACTCAGAAAGGTATCTGAAGAAACCCTGTATTTTCCCCTGCCATCCAACAGATATTTTCAGATGTATGTATAAAGAGTTAAGCTGTAAATATCCATTAGTGAAGGGCTGAGGTAAATTATTGTAAAAGGCTATTCCTCCACCTTGGATCCAGGCCAGTTCTGCAGAAGCAGCGCAGTCCCTCTGCTGCATAACTGAAGAGACAGTAACTAATTATTAAACATATATGTATATACCACACAAATATTAAAGCATCAGAGACTGCAGATAAACTGTAGCCTCATTTCTAAATTTCCTAGCCTTGATTTTGTTTTGACCACACTTAGTAATAGTTTTACTCTGTGTATATATGCACACACATATCTCAACTAGACAAACAGTTTCTTGAGTCAAACACTTACTTGATTTTAGCAATGCAGCAAGTGTGTCTAAAGCAACCCTGTCAACATAACAAGAAAAGTCAAAACAACAACCAGTAAGCTTAATCTACAACACTGTAAAGGTATACAAAATAGTTACTGCTGTCTCCTCATGTTTTCCTGCTTGCACTGTATCACAGACTTTGCTTTTAAAATTTTATTTTACTAAAATATTATGCACCTCTGCTCTGTCTGAAGTCTGATGGCAAAATTTAATGATACGAATGCAATGGCTACACAAACTTTCAGCCTTTGCAAAAAAACCACCTTAAGTGACAAGGTAATCTTTATGAACCATACTCAACGCATGAGATACTTCTGAAACTCATGTTTTTATGTTAGCAGCAGAAAAATGCTTCCACAAAGCAAAGGACGCTATTATAGAAAACTGTAGGTCAAAACTGGCAGTGTATGAATATATTGAGTAATGCTGATTGATCTGTACTGCAATACAAGATCGTCAGTTCAAGATTTTTCTTGTACACAAAGATCTTGTCTCAATTAACTCAAGATGTACAACTAGAAAACGCATGTATTTTTACCCTCTTTGTAAAGATAGACTTCACACATCTGATCTTAGACCATAAACAAGGATATGATTACTCACATCATGGAATAGTAAGTTCATATGTCTAATTTTAGCGGCAGCTTAAAGGAGCAGGGCATTTTTTTAAAAGATGGTCACTCCAGTGACCATAAATACCAGATTTAGATAACATAACACTATTTTTTGTAGTGAAATTAGAATATGAACAGTATGAGACTATTATTTTGCTAACCAGATTTAAAAATTAGTTTTCTACAGGTTACGTACTTCAAAAAGGTGGTAGTGTATAAAGAAAGGGCTATCGCCACTTAGATCTACCTATCTAGTTGTACCCTAAATTGCCTTTAAAAAAAAGATGAATACACAGTTAGGGGAAAAAAATATCTGAAGTCCCCACTTTAAGATTACTCAGTAAATTTTTTTTTTTTTTTTTTTAAAACACAAAAGCCACCTAGACAGATATTGCTGTCAGTGACCATAAATACCAGATTTAGATAACATAACACTATTTTTTGTAGTGAAATTAGAATATGAACAGTATGAGACTATTATTTTGCTAACCAGATTTAAAAATTAGTTTTCTACAGGTTACGTACTTCAAAAAGGTGGTAGTGTATAAAGAAAGGGCTATCGCCACTTAGATCTACCTATCTAGTTGTACCCTAAATTGCCTTTAAAAAAAAGATGAATACACAGTTAGGGGAAAAAATATCTGAAGTCCCCACTTTAAGATTACTCAGTAAATTTTTTTTTTTTTTTTTTTAAAACACAACAGCCCACTAGACAGATATTGCTGGTGCTTCCTACTCTATGTTTTATGGTTTTGCTCTAAGAGTCTACAATTGCTTTAAGTAAAGCAGAAAGAAAATTTTATTACAAAATAAAACATGTAGTGTCACTCTAAAACCACAAAGGAAATGTGGGATCCCATCCAACAAATAGGAAAATTATGGGATTGTCTTGATCTGTTTGTCCTGATTTGAGGATAACCATTGTACAGTTTCCATACAGGAATATTAAGAGACAAAAAAAATAAAGTTTATATTCTTTTACGAGTACTGTAACTAGACATTCAAATATTTTGTGTTACTCTACTGGGTAAAATTAAACTGTCAGATTTGTGGTTCTCCTTCCCACCTCCCTTCACTTCAACTTTCAAATGAAAGTTACATTTGATTTCTCTGTATTGCTTTTCATTTACAAGTAATTTTTGAAAGGTATCTAAGGTTTTTCCATGTACTATATTAAAGAGATATTACTTACTTCATAAGGCTAGTGTTCTTTTTACTAAAAGGGCCAATGATCTTAAACATCAGTTCTACTACTCCATTCTTTCCCAATGACATTGCATTTACAGCTGGAAGAGTTAAAAAAAATCCATATTTAAGATAATGTAGTAAGAAAGGCAAAAGAAAAAACCAATGCACTCAAAGTAAAATCCATGCAAGTTAATTCTGAAGTACAAAAAATGTTAGATATGTTTGTGCTTTAACGACAAGCAGACACTACTCTGCACATAATTAGAGTGATAATCCAATCCTGATAAAACTTGGAAAAGAAGAAAAAAATTGGTTATTACTTTACAGATAAAACCATGTATTACTTCTAATGCATGCTTCTGCTTTCTTTGTTATTAAGATAACTCATAAAAAGAATTTTCTTCTAAAAAATCTCAGAGTTTAACAAGACAGAGTGGTTTCTAAAATTTCAAGTCTAGTAAGTTCTATGACTTGCTATTATCCTTCAGTATGAGGATAGACAGGTATGTCCACCAGGATTCGAAAAGCCAAATGCTTGCTGTAAAATTCAGAATTGCCAATAGGTATAAGCTTTCCTGAGCTACATGCTATATATATGTTCTCAGAAAAAAAAAAAAAAAAAAAAAATCTATTTGAAAGGGAGCAAGTTAAAAGAAATTATGCTAAGACTTACATTCAAGAAATGCACACTATATGTATATATGGCTAAAGCCCAATGCCCACGGAAAATACAAACTGCTGACCCAGTCACAGGAATTCAATTCCTGACTCAGTCTAGCAATGTGCACTCTTAACAAAATAGGGAGAGAGCAACTAAGAACTGACTCCAACATAATCAATGCTGTTATTAGTGTAGAATTTACTACTTGAGCCCAAGTTGCAATTTCATCATCGTTAGCAGCAACATTACAGCAGTAGAATTGAAGAAAAATTAGGACTCTTTTGGTAGCAACTGTACAAAAACTTTAAATGCAATTGGAATGTAATAAACTGCTACTTTTTCTGTTTATAAGGAGTGGGAAATACAACGGAACAGAACTGATCTAGTCAGAATCCAAATTAGAGACTCAGTTCAATTTCCCCTTTTCAGGATGAAGCAAGTTTTCAGCTAATCTATGTATCTATCTGTTTTAAACTCTTCCATTTAAAGTATTTTAGCTCCTTATTAGCTCAACAGAAATAAAGTTTCCACATTTTAAAAGTACTGGGCGTTTATGAATTATAGGTTCTCATGTAAACATCCCGAAAACATAATCTTATAGATCATCAAATCAATTCTCTCGGAGGAATATGGTTATGTTTTCAATCTCCCGCACTTATTTAAGAGGTTTAATGGCCATTCTGGGCTCAATGGTAAAACTTAAGAGCATTTAAGCGACAGCAGAGATACAGCAAGAACCACACTATTTTCATCAACTTCCTACTGCCTGCCCAGGCAACAAATTAGGCTCTTGTGGAAGAGTATCAGCCCAACAGTAGGGCACTTCAACACAAGGAGTAAGGGAAAGGTTAAATAAAGAAATATTTCCTATGTGAGCCAAATTTTATATTAGCAATCGTGAAAAAAATAAAGTAATAAAAAGCAAAAAGCCCGTGAGCATCTATAGTAAAAAGAATAATTATTTAATTTGAAGTGCTTCTGCAAGCACAATGTTAGCATTTCTGGCTTAGATCTTAAAGCATCAGCATTTATGTAAATTAGACAACTCAAAATTCCACACATCCAATGGCACTGGTTAAACACCCCCCCAGCTGTATCTTTATACCAACACACACACACTTTGAACAAAAAACAAGGATACACAAGAAGTACAAACATGCTTCACAGCAGTTACTAGAATTTAAGCAATCTGATGATATAAAAAGCAAATTCCCAGACAAAAGCAATTATTTTAAACATCTAACATTAAACAAGCATTTAGATCTGATATTTTAACCATATCTAGGTAAAAAAAATTATATCACATGGGAAAGAAAAGAATTATCTACAGTACTTACAGTTGGTTGAGTAAACTCTTAATACTTGAAGACATGGCAATATTAGCCTGTGGTTCTGCAAATTCTGCTTCACTAAATTCAATGATATGTTTAGGGCACCATTAATTCTTGCTTTCATGCCAATCTTTTTGTCTGACATCAAAGAAATACAAGATCAATCACACTCATTTTGCAATTATTATAAAAAAAATTTAAGTTAAATGAACTGTGAATTCCTTCTACCAATGTCAACTCTACATGTCCGTTTCTCACCATTCTTCCCTCCCCTCTATTTTAATCTTCCTTTTGTTCTCCTCTAGCAATACTGAGTATGTGGATGCTTATACAATAATAGAAAGAAAATTCTTATTAAGTTTCAATTATGAAACTGTAAAGTATTAAGCCATGTTACTTGAGTATCATTATCACCTTTTGGACCAATTTTTGCAAGAAGAGTGTGAAGAAGCACCATTAATTCTTCATTTGGTGGAGAGTCTTTGCTGGCAGTCAAAAGCAGCTGCAATAAGATCTGTGTCCCTCCTTTAGTGACTAAGACGCTTGCTCTCCGACCACCACCTAGAAATTAAAACTCAACTGATCTCTCAGAAGTCAAAGAACAATTAAGTATCTAAGCTACAGTTATTATAAATTAAGTCTTTAGAACAGCAATATTTTCTTCATATATGATTGAACTATGCAAGAACATGCTGGACTTAGACTTATAGCAACATAAATTATTTATGTACAATTATTTGAAAGATGACTTCAGTCTTTATGTTCTTTTTATTATGCATACAAATCAGCATTAGCAAATGTCAGGGAGAAAAAAAAAAAAAAAAGGGAAAATAATTCCAACAACAACAAAAGTCTGCAGAAGAATACAGGAATATAATCACAAATTGTTCCTTAATGAAAACTTACCAACTGAGACCACCTCAATGAGAATATTCAATATATTTAGAATAGTTTGAGGATCTTTTGTATTCTGCAATAAAAAATAGAGATTGCTTAATGTAAAAGTCTAATACACTGGTTTATAAAGCTCAGAGAAATTGCCACCACTAAATCAAACAGAACTTAAGATGGAACCATGCAGCCAGCCATCCCACTACGAAGCCTGAATTAACCAAAAAACCAATTAAAACCTGGTTTGTAGTATGGCATATTAATTAGAGCTGACAGTTGCCAAATAATTTCTTAGAATATTTAAAAATAAGGGAGAGAAAACTTTAAGTAAGTTAAAGACCATACCTAATCATTACAGTCCTACACAAGTTTTGGAGACTAGCTAGGATAACCTATTCAATCATACGAAGACCAATGATAAAATGAAAACTTGTTACATACCCATAACCACACAGATCAAAAGGTTTTACCTCTAGGGTTGACAGGATAACTTCTATTCCAGTGGAGCCCTTAGAGGTCATCTCCTTCCTGGTTTTTTCTGCAAGTGAGAAAAAGACCATTTTTCTTTTAATATACTAGCTTGCAGAAAAAAAATATGTAATCATATACAGATTTATCTGTGTATGATAAAATCTACACAGCAAGTAATAAAACCTATGAAAAATGCATATAGTTATATAAAAATAACTAAGAGAAAGTGATTTTAAAACTAATTTTTGCTTTCACTTATTCAACAGTCTTGTCATGCCCTAGTAAAAAAATGTGAAGAAAAAAAATCTGTAAGAAAGCTCACTTTCAGATACTTTAACTTCTCATACACACACACACACACACATATACTGTGAGTTATTACTTAAATTATAGCTGTCTGACAATACAAAATGCACTCAGTGCAACCAATACTATACCAGGTAGTATTAAATGTGGCCTTAAACAGGTGCTTTCAACAATCAGTGACAAAAATGGATGGATAAACAAGTTCACCAAACAGAACCAAAAATTCAAGAAAAATCCAGCAAGAAATAAATACAAGAAGAAAGGCTCAAAAGGAAAACTACTAAATCCACAAAACTTAGATATTTACCTTGACTCTGAACCAAATGAAGGATCTTTGAGGTAATGTATCTGGCATTGTCTGCTTCTCCTAATACAGAGTCCAAATTGATCTTCTCCAGCTGCGAGAGCAGGGACATAGTCCGAGAACTGGTAGAAACACTACAAGAAAGATTTTCACATTCATTTTTCCATCTAGAGCAGAAAAAAAACCCACTAAAACCAGAAATCCCATGCCAGAGTAAAGGGAGCCACTAATTCAACTTTTTATTTTATCTCAGTTGGAAAACAGTCTTAAATCTCCTTAATTCTGGCAAATTTACAGATTTTGCAAAGCCTGCATTGCAGCAGACTAATTACATAAACCAGCATCTCCATGAGCAACTGTGAACAGGGAAAGTGGCTGCAGCAAATAAAATCCAGTTATAGGCACAAATATTATCTATGTCAGTTAGAGTAACTTATATTTAATATAGTTTATGTTAAGTGCCAGGATACTGTATCAAACCTGCCATTCAAGGGAAAACCAACTGCAAACAGTCCCAAAGACTGTTTGTCTTACAGGCTGGTGTTTCAGAAGTGAAAGGAAAGATTATCATTCATGGAGTGAACAAACTAACACCCACCAGCTGAAGAAAAAGAACACCGTTTTGAAGAAAAAACAAAATTTGGAAGGTATCCAAAGCTATCACCAGAGTTTGGATTCATTTTGACCACAAGGGTATTTTGGCCTGACATCACAAAGTTGCCTTGCAAATGTATTTTAATCTAAGAAACAATTTCAAACCAGGCATTCATATAGATAGGCAGGTTACAAAGAATGAATGTAAATATTTATAGTGTTCAAAATAGAGTTAGATTAGAAATTGGTTTATTTCCTCTCCATTTTTAGATCATAACGATTATTCAGAATAGTTTTGAGATTCACATTCCCACATGAAAGTAATTTTTAGACAAATGTTTAACATTTGAATTATAGTCATGTAATTAACTACAGGAAATTATGATTTCCAAGGATTAACTACCTTGACTTTTCACTTTTGTAACTCTAATGTCCTGCAATAATCAACAATAATTCATTTTACACACATACTGTTCTGACTATCTGCAATAAAACTGAAGTATGTAACATTAGCTTTATAAATACTGTCAGTTTTATTTATAGCAATGAGGAATTATTACTCCTTGATTTGTTACTTTACATCTCTGAAAAGGTTCCATACTTACAGTTAACTCTGCTAAAATAATTAGTTTATGTGTGGACAAAAATGTTAAAGGAAAAAAAGTAGCTGATGGCAAAGTTTGTACTGCTGTGAAAACAAATTACTGTAACAGCTGCTGAGGAAACTCTTTCCACCACTTTCACTTTTCCAAACTGACATTTAAATGAGAAGCATAACCAAAACCAATTTCATATTACAGATGATACTTAGTAGCTTTTACCATCAGTAATAAGAAATGGTTATACTAATTATAGAGCTTAAGTAAAAATGAATTCATATTGCAAAGTAAATATATCACCTTCTCAGTTATTTGCTAGACTTTGATTTAAAATTATTTTTTGATCTAAAACAAATCTGTCTTGGTTGCTGAAATATTCTTTTCCTTGTATAAGTAAAGCATAATCCCTCCAATCCTTTCTCAATACCCAAAACCAGGGTGAATAGTATACAGCTGTTATTATTTGCATAAGCTTTGTTTTGTTTATTTCTACTCCTTCATTTATCCACTGAATTTGAAATACTCCAAAATAAACCCAAGATTTTAATGAAATCCACAAGCTCTGTTGATCTGGTACACAAACTGACAAGTTTCTGTAGGATGTTATCTTCACTAGCTTCACAATCAAAACAAGAAAGAGTCCAGTCAACCCACATATAAGCCAATGCAGAAGAGAACTGCTGCTTCAATTTGTATGTGTGTCTCTGTGTGTGTGCGCATGCGTGTGTATATAATTTCCATTGTGGTATATCATTGGTCTCAGTAGTAGTAGTTTGAAAGCGGAAAGCAACTGAAAGCAAACATGATCCCTAGGAACAAACAAAAAAAGAAAATAGAAGGTTTTATAAAGACAAAACTCATTTACAGTGTCCTGGTTTCGGCTGGATAGAGTTAATTTTCTTCACAGTAGCTAGCATAGTGCTGTGTTTTGGATTTAGAATTAGCAGAATGTTGATAACACACTGATGTTTTTAGTTGTTGCCAAGTAGTGCTCAGACTACTCAAGGACTTTTTGAGCTTCTCCTGCTCGGCCAGGTGCATAACAAACTGGGAGGGAGCACAGCTAGGACAGCTGACCCAAACTGACCAAAGAGCTATTCCATACCCTATAACGTCATGCTCGGGGGGGGGGGGGGGGGCGCGTTTCTTTCCTTCCCGATTCTCTCCCCCATCCCACTGAGGGAGGGGGGAGTGAGTGAGCAGCTGCGTGGTGCTTAGTTGCCAGCCGGGTTAAACCATGACAACAGGTATTAGAATTTCAGAGTAAACCTGATTTTTGACTGCTGCAGCCTGCAAAATTCAAGCAAGAAGACTGGCACATGGATGTAATATACCATCTACAGAAAGTTAGCAACTAACACACTTTCTCTGTACTTACTAAAAGCTTAAAATGTTTAGGAAGGGTAAGTCATTCTTACTACTAAGTCCTAAGATTTAGGGGTATAATCTCCTCCTGGGGCCAGTTTCTATCAAGAGCAATGGGCACTCATTGTAGTGGTTAGAGTATTTTTACCATGGTTTCAGGGTACTCATCTTGCAAGAAATCTTCCAACCAAAATATAGCCAAATAAACTTCATGTATTTAGCATACCCAGTAAGTGTTCTTGAAAATAACACCAGCCCAGAGCCTATGCTGAAATATAAAGAAGTCCTGATTTACTCTTAACTATGACTGAGTTTTCTTCTTAAAACTAAATTTGTACTCTTGTTTATTTATATTCTACACTAATATACATAGTGGTTATAATACCATGACAGCTTTCAATGTCTGCGTGGAGGAGATTCAAGATAGCCAGCATGGCTTCACCAAGGGAAAGTCCTGCCTGACGAACCTAGTGGCTTTTTATGATGGAGTGACAGCATCAGTGGACAAGAGAAAACCAATGGACGTCATCTATCTGGACTTCTGTAAAGCCTTTGACACGGTTCCCCACAGCATCCTTCTCTCTAAATTGGGGAGATATGGATTTGATGGGTGGACTGTTTGGTGGATAAGGAATTGGTTGGATGGTCACATCCAGAGGGTAGTGGTCAACAGCTCAAAGTGGTGTCCCTCAGGGGTCCATACTAGGACCAGCACTGTTCAATATATTCATCAGTGACATAGACAGTGAGATCAAGTGCACCCTCAGGAAGTTTGCAAATGACACCAAGCTGACTGGTGTGGTTGACACACCAGAAGGACAGGATGTCATCCAAAGAGACCTGGACAAGCTGGAGAGGTAGACCTGTGTGAACCTCAAGAGGTTCAACAAAGCCAAATGCACCTGGGTTGGGACAACCCCTGGTATCAATACAGGCTGGGGGATGAAAGGATTGAGAGCAGCCCTGACATGAGCCGGCAATGTGCGCTGGCAGCCCAGAAGGCCAACCGTACCCTGGGCTGCATCAAAAGAAGCATGGCCAGCAGGTAGAAGGAGGAGATTCTGCCCCTCTACTCTGCTCTGGTGAGACCTCACCTGGAGTCCTGCATCCAGCTCTGGAGCCCTCAGCACAAGAAGGACAGAGGAGGGCTACAAAAATGATCCAAGGGCTGGAGCACCTCTCCTATGAGGACAGGCTGAGAGAGTTGGGCTTGTTCAGCCTGGAGAAGAGAAGGCTGTGGGGAGACCTGATTGTGGCCTTTCAGTACTTAAAGAGAACCTACAGGAAAGATGGGGACAATGTTTTTAGCAGGGCCAGTTGTGACAGGACAAGCAGTAATAATTTTAAACTAAAACAAGGTAGATTTAGATTGGATATAAGGAAGAAATTTTTTACAATACAGGTGGTGAAACAATGGAACGGGTTGCCCAGAGGGGTAGTGGAGGCCCCATCCCTGGAAGCATTCAAGGCCAGGTTGGATGGGGCTCTGAACAACCTGATCTTGTTAGAGGTGTCCCTGCTCACTGCAGGGGGGTTGGACTAGATGACCTCTAGGGGTCCCTTCCAACCCAAAACATTCTATGATTTTATCCTATGATTCTATGGTAAATCAAAAAGGCTGTAGGACAGGAATTACACCAGCCAGCCTAACTGACTGCTCTTGTCTGTAATACTGCTGTGACAATCCATCTGACCCAAGAACAAAATGCAAGCCCAATTTGCAATGAGACTGATATTTTTTAAGGCAAACACATACATTTTGACCAACTAACCATTCAAGATCCAAATCTAGAAGATAGCTCTCCAAAACAGAGGCAGCATGGAACTCAGTATTTTTACTCCAACAGCTAGGTAAACCAAGGAAATAGTCAGAATGGCACAATAAGAGCTGTTTCATGTCAGAGCTGGATTTCCGTTTAAGCTGCCAATGTTGCAGAACCTCGCATGAATACCCTGAACACTGTGGCCAACCATTCATACAGCACTTGTTTTCGCACAATGTGAAGAAACCTTGTTACCAAAAGAGACATTTTTTGCCCCACCCATCTGAAAGCTTTCCATAAGAGCACTCTGTAGTCACTGAGGGTTATATAGAGTCTCTACTACCTTTAGTTAGAAAAATCATGACTATGGAGCACCAGAAGAAGCTTCATAAGGTCATCTAAACTACTCTCTTCAGTTAGATGAAGACCACAGCTGCTCCTCCTGATAGACATATGCCCAACCATAACGACCTGCAAAAATGGTGATCCAATAACCAAAGGCAACTTCATTCACCTTGTATCCTTCATTTGAAAGCTTTTCTCCCTGGAGTTTAATCTTACTATTGCTGGCTCTCATTACTACAAATGTGGCTGTCCTCTATCTGTTCCACTCTCTAAGCACAGAACCTTGCATGTATTTCTATCAAATATTCTTAACCATTTTCTGCATTTCACAAGAGTATTTTGAAATCATTTGGTCCTCCAATATTTATGCAGATCTTCCTAGCTTCAAGTTGTCTGCAATTTTAACAAGAACTCTGTCTTCTCTTTCAGATCTTTAGTTGAAGCTCAAAATATTTTCAGTCATTAACTGTAACCAGAAAAAGAGCATATCCAGAAACAAACTGTGCACCATTTCCTTGACAGTGATTAACTACCACTGCTCTGGTATCCAGTCAGTGCTGTACTCCAGAGCACTTGGATGGAGCACTTGCCTTAGCTTCCTGATGGCAAACACATGCAATGGTTATTTTAGTAAAGCTTTAAATGTGGTTTATTAATGCCACTTCCCTGCTCACGGGACTGTTACTCTCTCACACATGAAAAATCAGATGTATTTTCAAGAACAACTCAAACCACATTTGGCTGTTTGCAGCCTCACATGTTTGATTAGTTCTTCCAGAATCCTTCTGTGCAAAGAACAGAAGATGGCTGATCTACAGCTATTCAGTCTCTGCTCCCTGACTCCCACAGACACAACCCCTAGGTTTGCCATCTCTGTCTTTCACTATTTGACCCAAATCTCATGAGTTCTGAAGACAATTGATAATTAGTATTCTGGGACGGAATTAGACTTTCTTTAAGCATCCTGAAGTGAAGTTTACCAGGCTTATTTGACCCTATACACTGCATGTCTCTGTAGGCAGGAAACCCTTTCTCCACCCCACGTTCAAATGCCACAGCTCAAAACACCCCTCACACCACCATCTTACTTGCAGAAAGGAAGTATGAAAAAGCTTGCCATCATCTCAACTGTTGCCAAAGCATACAGTGTGACTCTAGCTAATGAGAGAGCTTTGTGGGTTTCCTCCTTTGCTGGTTGGGAAAGCTATGAGTAGATATAGAGGAAGCAACTGCCCAGACAGTGAGGAACAGACGACTTCATGGGTTCACGTTTGAAAGAGAACTCCCTCAACAAGAAAACATCCCTCACTGCAGGCATATTACTTTCAGTCCCACCAACTCCCAAAAGGTTTAAGCATTCTTAGTCTGATTGTGAAGAACTGCTAGATTCACAACTCTGTTACTCACTGCACACTACTTACGCTATGCAAATGCTAAAACACATCATTACACCTTTCTAAGTGTCTGTTCACAATGAGAAATATACTCCAATGGCTGTCATGGCAGCTCACAAAAATTCAGTTATCTCAGAATGGTTTTTGGCTATTCATCTTGCAAGAAGCCTTCCAAAAGAGAAGAGTCAAATGAAGGAAGTCATCAGAAACCTTCAGTTTCCCAACTGTACCTACTTCCTCTGAAACTGCTGTTTGCAGTCAGCCAGCACCCTGACATACCAGGGAGTGTCTTCTTCCCCCGCCACAGGTCTTCTGTGTTTCAGTGTGTTACAGTGAGCCTTTACAAAACTATTTTAAAGTAGACAGGCTGCTCATGAGTTTGTTTTCATTTTATTCCAATGCAAACTACTTCCAATTTTTTTTCCCTCAACCACCTCCACAGTTACCAAATAATCTTTAGAGAGATGATACTTCTGATTCTTTCACAGCTACCTCTGTACAATAAATTCACTGTAATGTATTCATGACTTAGGGAACAACTGTTTTGAATTGCAGGGATGGAAACTTTGATTTTAACTCAATAACTAAAGAAGAATAAATGGCACTTAAATAGTCACTCTGCAAAAATCTAATATTCTTTGTGATAGTATACTTTATGTATTATAATTAGTAGTACTTCCAAGAATACCCATTGCAGATGGAGAGTTTGATTTTGCTTATCGTAATGCCTAAGGAACTAATATAGTGTAAGTTCAAAACATAATAGTTCCTTTACTATTTCTTTTGATACACCTCATACAAACAGGAACAACCCGTCTCTGATATCAAGCCGCTCCACTGTTAAGAGTCAGCAGAAGCAAAGACAAATCTACCTGCAGGCATTTAAATTAAAATTTTAAATCCACCCCAAGATATAAAGTAAATCCACAGTGGAGCATGTCCTTCATGCAAATTCATCCACTCATTTAGAAGATAATGGGTATTTCAGAGAATTAAGACTGAAGTCAAAATTCCCTATTCCCTTTAGATTTTTTTTTGAAATCTGATTAGATGGTTGATTTAACAAGGTGGTTTAACCTATGCTAGTTTAAGAAATCAGTGAGACTGAAAGCCTTTCAAGTTTCCTGATGCTTACCAGGCATGTTGTGTTCCATAGATAATCTCATAATTTTTTCAAATATTTGCTAAAGTTATCATGAAAATACCAAACACAACTTTTCAACTCTTGAAATTTTCTGTAATCTCACTCTTGTTTGTCCTAGCTGTGTGTTCAATTGCAGGATTGTTGGAGAACGATATACATCTTATGACAAATTCTTGGCTTCTTATACACTATTATAAACTTACCCTTGAATTCCTTCAGTAAAAATAATTTTATGTTTTGCCAATATTTGCATGAAATGATTACATTGATAACTGTTTCAATGAAATTTAATGTATATTTTGTATTTGAACATGTCTAACATCTGAAAATTTTAAATTAAAAAAGTTATTTATTAAATGTGAAGCTACTTTATGCTAATCAACATTGACTCCCTCAGTCTTTCAGGACATCAATTTACATATTCTCACTTGGAACCCATAATGTATATTTTATTTATCTTATGATTAAGATAAAGACTGATTTTTCACAAATCTCAAATAGCTTGATGTTGAGAAGTCACTATGTTAAAATTTACCTTTTTTCAGATGATGTTTTTACTTTGTTCATATTGGAAAACTGATTCTTCAAATGATCATCTCTTATAACCTGAAAGATATTAAACAACTACAAATTATCAACATTGTTTGTTCTTCAATGATGAAATGCTACCACCGTACTGGATGTCTCTATACTAGAAATGTTAAATAAGTTAATTCGCATTGACTGCATTTCTCCACAGTGTCACATCACAAGCTCTTCTCTCTTCAATCTATTTTATTTGGCTTTTAAAATAAACTATTGCAATATAAGGATGGAGTATAGTTCTGCATTATAATTTAGTCCTACCAAGCTCAGAGTCTGATTATAATAAAACAGACATTTATACCAGTTACTTAACAGACAATATTTTCATGTCCATGACAGAATTTTATCAAACAAAGCTTTTCCTGAAGCCAGTAAATACCCTTCTCTAAACTTACTTGACAACGTTGTGAGATGCCACAACATACCTATTTCTGATTGCCATTTCATGTACCTATAGGATAACTAGGACAAGAGGCACAGTGAGAAACATGGAGTGTTTTGGTGTTCTTATTTAAGCAAGACCTGAATACATTTCTTGGACAGAAACCATATGGTGCTAAGGACTCAATTTTCCTACCCTTTTAAGGACATAGTGTCCTCAGGGTACACTGCTTGCTCAAACGGTGCCTCCAAGCAATTAAGGTTGTAGCCTACAGGACCACTAACTGAACCTCACTACTTCCATTCGAGATCCAATATGAATGGCAAATACTCCTACTGTGAAAAAACCTCAATGTGCTCAAAGGGCACAATGGTTACTCTCAAGGTAGAAGACAGAGTAAAGGGGAAAAAGGATGTTCAAAAATATGGGTGGTGAGAATGAAGAAGATAAAGCACTTAATTTCTTGCCTGCATTTTGCAAGAGAACAAGTCAAGTACACACACAGCCCCTCCTCCCCAAGAGAAATTTGTAAGACTTCTCAAAAGTCCTTGTTCTTCAGCACATCTAATTATCAAGTTTTTATTACTGGTAAATTCCACTCTGCAATTGCTAAAAGCCAAAGCAGATTAAGTATGAAGCAAGCTTATTTCCAGACTTACCTGAAAGCAGAATTTTCTCCCAGCAGCCAGGAGCAAATGCTTAGCTTTTCACAAGAATTCCAGCTTGACACAAGTTAACAGGTGTCCTAGATTTGTCCAAGTACCCTTCAAGTGTAAACTGTCTTGATTTCCTTTAAAGAAAATTAATAGTTATACGAGAATAACTGTGTCCACCACAATGCAGACAATTTCACAAATAATAAGGTCTGAATTATTCAAACTGGGTTGCAGGTCTTACTGGGGGGAAAAATATTAGATTCTTGAATTCAAGTAGCCAAGTGCTGTTTTGCTTGCAGCATTGACCTGCTGTCAAGACAGATGATGAACAGTCTGCTAGTGCCAACAGTGTCTACATATTAGTGTACTGAACTGCTGTACAAGTGGAGGAGCTACAGAGCTGAACTATCTTGAACTGCAAGGCCTTAATTTGTTTTGCTCTAAATTCACCACAAATTATTTCAGTAAGCACTAATGTGCAAATGCTCCAGGTCAAGGGAAAAGACAAGCAGATAAGAAAACGCACAAGAACCTCTGCAAAAAAACAGTGAGAAGGAGCAGGGAGAAAGAAATAGAAATGCATCCAGCAATCCAGAGAGTTGTGGTGGAACGTTTGTGCATACTAAAGTAACAAAATCTCTCTTCAACATTTTATTAGGTGATACAAAAAAGCCACTTTCAATCTATTTTAAACACTTTTAATATTATGTTTATTTTGAATAAAGGACTGATAGACAGGTAAAGGCAGAAAGTGCATGTGTCCCAACTTAAACACACTTTTTAAACACATTTAATGCCACTTGCCTGCCAGTGGTAGAAATGCAGAGGGTATATTAGCATCAGTTCTTCTGCATTTAAAAGACTAACAACAATTGAAAAAGAAGCCCCAAGTTGGAGGGGAACAGAGGAGAGTAGGGAATGTTGACTAGTTAAACTTCAAGCTGACATACACTGGATTCTGTGCAATCCCCCCCCAGCCTTTTCATGTTGTCTGTAGAAATGTTCTCCCCTTCATCCTCCGACCTGCAAAGGCAACAGGCAGCTCCTTCATAGGAAAATTCTCCAGACAGGTGAAGTTCCAAACCAGAAAGCTGCACTCACTGTAATAATGTTACCAACACTAACGTAAATTTAATGGACTGTAAGAAGTTATATGTCATTTTCGCTTTTTCCTTTCTCCACAGAAAACCAAAACCATGCCTTATGCAACATGTATTTGCCTCCCTCCTAAGTGAACTCTTTGTCACTGAGCCACTGATGCACCATCTTTGCTGATCCACCGTTTTAGCCCTATGAAACTTTGCCACTCACTGGCAAACCTTGTCCAAAAGAGCATAGGACACCACCCCCCCCCCCCCACCCCCCCAAAAAAAAAAACCCCTACCTGTCATGGTAAGATTTGGCACGTGCTGAAATGTAACAGAATAACATGGAACCCAGACTCCTGCTTCTTGGATAAATACTCTAACCACAAAGCTAATGCACAAAATGGCAAGCACCATCACAAAGCTATTTTCTTTTGCTCAAATCAGTGTCTAAAGAAAGAGGCTGGCAGCATTTCATTCAGACCACACATTCAGGCGTGTCTATTAGGCATTACTGGAAGTGTCTGTTAGGCTACAGAGGACTCATAAGGACACCATCTTCCCAATACTAAGTTGATTTATATGCATTAGAAGAACACGAAGATGCTCAGCCTCTCCAAACCAGCAATAATTCTAGTGAGACCTTGTAACAGGATTCAGAGGAAATTTTACTGACACAGGTTAGGTAGCGACCTGCACTGGGGGTGAAAAGAGGAATTAGTAATTCTGGTATTGTGCTCTTAATGCTCGATACTAATACCATTCTACTAGCAAAGGTGACCCGACCTCAGGGCTTATGCAAGAAAACATAACTGGATTATGACCACAATCACAGAATCCAGATGTTGCTATCCTCTTTTATCAATAGCTTCAGCCCCAGTTCTTCTCATGAGGACGAAGAAACTTCTAGATTTGGGCTTTTCTTTGACGAGTGCCAGGTTTGAGGTTTCCTCCCTTATTGCAACTCCTGAAGATCACGCATCAAATACTCATGATGTTTCCTGTCCAAACTCTTTGCCAGGGACACCAACCAAAGCCCTCTTTTTTTTTTTTCTTCTTGATCTCGCCTATCTGTATCTGATGCACAGCCAAAAACTGGCTCCTGATTATTCTGAATAAGAGCATCTCATTCCCATTTTAGGCATTCATTTACTTCTATGATCCTAAATCCACTGCTTCAGGGGAAGAGAAACCTAAAATTCCATCTGTTTTAAAAAAAAAAAAAGCAAATAAATAAAAATCCCCTTCACTAAAACCAGGCCAGTGCCTGCCCCACTTCCCTTGTTTGTCTTCTCACTTTGAGGATCCTTTTTCATTTTCACACAAAGATCAGGAACCTCACACCACAGCAGAAAGCCACCTAATCACCAAATTTACTCTCATCATCTACCTAATAATGGAAAGAAGGAATTAAAAAAAAGTAAATGCTACTAACCACATACTTTGCATGCACTGTCACATAGCTCTTCTTGCATCTTTTTTACAATTCTGGTAGTTAAACTGATGCACTTATTTCAGAGGAAAGTGAGTATATCCCTTATTTATTGCAAGACATCCAGGTGGAACTTCTACATGCTCTGAACAGCCATTATTAAATAAAACTGAAGAAATCAAATTAAACTCAGTACAGTAATGCATGGCTCAAGTGTACCAGAACCTGCAGTTAACTGTATTAACTGTAAATTGTTTTCCCTTTTATCTCCCGTTAATCACTAATGGACAGGAAAGAAAGCAGACTCAAAACTAAACTCCAATCCTTACTCTAACTTATAATAAGAAAAAATGCATAGTCACCATTAAAATACGTCAGTGCTCAGCACTTGCACTGTCATTTTGACAACACGACATCTGAAATAAATTCTCATGTTAAACACACAATAACCTCACATCTGAGACTCAGAACTTATAACCAACAGCAGCTCTGCTTTTGTGGTTGCTTTTTTATTTTTTCCTTTTTTCTTTTCCACTGAAACTGAAGATTTTTGTATATACATTTAAAATATCTAACTATATTTGGGAATTATACCAGACTGTCTTGCCATCAAGCCATTTTCTTGCAACGGAAAATCTTGCCAAAAAGTATGTTTTCAAACAACTGCCATGGAAGACAAATCTACCATTATCTGGCAAGCTAATGGTAAGCAAAGGGAGCAGTACTAGTCAGACAGGGCAAAATGACTCTGCCACAGAAACAGATGTGCTCAGAAGCAACATGTACAGACCATGCCATACAAAGCCTACTTCTCAGGACAATGGAGACAGGTAAAAAAAAAAAAAAGTCTTCATGATAAAATCCTGATATTAGAACACTCTCTTAGGGAAAAGAAAGATAATCTGTCTGCTACTGAAGCTGGAAGACATTCTGAGTTTACATAAACAGAATCCACATGCTTCAATTGACCAAAATAACATGGAACATGCCTGTCTTGAAAGGGTAAGTGTAACTAATAAACCTGAAGGATCTTTCTATTTTCTTTTCTTAAAACACAATACCCTCCTCCCCCCCCGCAAAAAAACCCAAGAAAACTCCCACACAACCAAACACAAGAAAAACAAAACAAAACAAACCAGAAAATAAACTGCTTTAAAAAGCCAGAGACCTCTGAAATTTACCGTGGTTAATACTAGGACTCTGCTGTAAAGTACTTTGTAACTACATTCCAAACGAGACAGTTCTTTTCCTCAAATTAAACTAGAAAAATCAAAAACAGGTATGGATATGCATAGTTTATTTATACTATTAAACCTGTTCTACATGCAGTATATTCTATTTTCTGTGGGTTTGTTTTCCAGAAACTCATTTTCTTAACTACTTTATATAGAAAGAAAGGCGTATTTTTTTGAGTCTGTTCACTGTATATTAAAAGGTGTTTTATTATCATAAATAAATGAATTGCAAAACCCTTATATCATATCATATTCATGAAGAGACAAGCAAAGCTTTAGTTTTATTGGGTACATCCAGCATAAGTCTGCAAAGCCTGTAAGATTTTACATCTGTCTGTATTTCTGTGTTTCCTCTGTATTCAAAGCTAGGCGTATCCCAAAGTATTCTCACAACCACAAGCTCAGACTTCACTCACATTCATCATGGAGTTACTGATTTGAAATGTGAAAAAAAGTAACCATGAACAAGCGCACAGCAAATAATTCATTCTTTTGCTGTGTACATATTTATCAGACAGTGGAAGCAAGTAGCTGAGCAAAATCTTTGTAAATGCTACAGTATATAAAAACAACTAGTATGCAAAAAAGGAAGGAATATAAAAGTTCAGAGGACAGAATTGGGTCAAAAAGCAATGAATTAAAAAATTAAAAAGAGAAACCCCAGGTATGAACTGAGAAAACATGTAATGATTTAAAATTTCATAAATGCTAGGCAGGAAGAAAGCTACATCAAAACCCTCCACTAGATCAGGTGATAGCATTCTGGGGTATGTTTCCAAAAGACACTTCTACCTCTCACAGAAGTACATGTGGGTCCCCCCAGTCTAAGGGCAGCTTAAACGAGAAGCAAAATGACCTTTGATAGAAGTCATGTCACATACCCCAAAGTCTCAGAAGCTGTTCATAGGTCAAAATATTCTTTTCCAAGACACTGGAAAAGTCTGTTTAAACACAATCACATAAAAAGACTACTGCATTCTTTGAGCTGTAGACAATCTTAATTCCAAAATACTACTTGTGTTTTACATTTTTAAAAATAGAAGTAAATTATTTGCAGGAACAAACTATTTCCTTAAGTAAACTTAACACTTGTAGGAATAGGGCCTGTATTCAAAATTTAGGATGAGTACCAACATGGGACAGCAAGGGTTACCATCACAGCAATAAAAAGCAAACTACCCACAATGCTTGTAGAGAGCAGGTCAACACCGTGGTAGCCAGCATCCTAAATGTGGCAAAACCCCACCAATATCCCTGCACAATATGGAAAACTGCAGTACCTTACTTGAGATGACATAGGAAACATTCACCAGGACAGCGGTGCTCTCTCTTTGGCAGCAGTAAGAACTGGCCACTGCTATTAGTACAGTGGTGCTGCCTCC